CTTCATCACCGTAGGCTCTTGCTCATATGTTATTTCTTTAAATTCTTCTGTATCTGCCAATTCCTTTCTATATAATGACTCAGTATATTCCTTCCATCTTACACCCACTAAAAAAACCCACCTTCATAAAAGTCAATAACATTTTATTATATATATTTGTAAGACATTTAGATATATTACCCTATTCAGGTGTTTTAGTCTCGTTGACCCTATGAAGAAAATGGCCCACAGAGCCCATTTATTAAATCGACCACATGACCCATTTTATCAACTTGGTAAATTCCTGTGATGTAGAATTTAAAACATGGTGGTAAGATTACAAATACTGCACTTTTGATAATTCAGTATTGTACTAGTATTGTACTAGTTGAAATTGTACATTCCATTGTTCAATAACAAATACGTAATTGATTTCTTATTCAATAAATGACATCTATTAAGTTGAATAAAAAATTTATTAAGTTAATGAAGAGAGCAGACAAGATTCTCGGACTTCACAGAACTTAAATTTTAGGGAGATAAATGGTCATAAGTACAAATAAATAAAGTAAAATATGTAGCATATTGGAGAGCTGCAAGTGTGAAATAGAAGAAAGGAATTGCATATATGAAGATTCCAAAAGCGGATGCTGTTGAGAAGATAGTCCCTAATTAAATATTTAGAGAAAGGAGTGAGTGACTTAGGTGTTTGCAGGGAAATTCATTCTAAGAATAGGATAAGGCAGTGCAAAGGCCCTGAGGTTAGAAAGTTAAAACTGTTTGGAATGTCTGGATGGGAGTTCATGTGACCAGTGGAGAGAGAGAGAAGATAAGGACCAAAAGAAAATTAGGCTCCAGCTTGCTTTGGGTGAGGAATTTGGCTTTTATTCTGAGTAGGAAGGGAGAGTTGTGAACATGGGAAGTGATACGTACTTTTTCCAAGATTACTCTAGTTTCAGTAAAAGGAAGAGGCAGGAAATAAAGTGGTTAATGAGGAGCTTTTGTAATCATCCAGGTGGGAGAACACAGTGACTTGGTCCACATTGATAGTAGTGGAGACTGGAAGAAGTAATCAGTAGTCTGAATGTAATTTCATGCTGGGGTGTGTGTTGTGTACTGGTAGAATCTAAACTGACCCAAAGCTGACCCTCTGGGCGGATTTTCAGAGGAAGTTAATTGTATGGGAGGAGATTGACCTTTCACCCTCCACACAGTTGGTGGATCTTAATATCTTAACTGTGGATTGCAACACAGCTTCTTGCCCATAAACCACCAAAGCTCCCAGTTTGATGGTAGATAGTAGACTACTTGAGTATGAAATAGCAATTGAGAGTCCTCCTTCTCTGCCTTGAGCAAATGGCCAAGTAGAATTTTTTTTGTTGAATAGGGAAAAATTTTACAGGTGCTAGGTTGCACGGATATATCGGGAGCTTTGATTAGAATCTGATAAATTTACAATGCCTAGACTAAAGAGCTGAATAGAAAATTTCAAAAGGCAGCGCAGGATGACAAAGTAAAATATTACAATGAAATGTGCAAGGAGTTGTAGTCAGAAAATCAAAAGGGCCAAACTCGCTCAGTGTTTCTTAACTCAAGAAACTGAAGAACAAATTCAAACCTCGAGTTGCTATAGTCAAGGATACATTAGGCAGAATATTAAATGATCCAGGAAGTATGAAAAGAAGATGGAAAAAATATACTAAGTTCCTGTATTGAAAGGAATTGGCAGACACAGAAGAATTTCATGAAACAACATATGAGCAAGAGCCAATGGTGATGAAGGAAGAAGTTCAGGCTGCTTTGAAGGAAATAGGAAAAAAATAAGGTCTGAGGAATCAATGGTATACCAATTGACATATTTCAGCTAATAGATGCTGCCCTGAATGTGCTCACCAAGTTGTACCAAGAAATCTGGAGAACGACCACTTGGAAGAGATCTGTATTTGTTCCTATCCCAAAGAAGGGTGACCCAACAGAGTGTGGAAACTATAGAACAATCTCATTGATTTCACATGCAAGCAAGATTCTACTGAAGATTATCCAAAAACGACTGGAACAGAACATCAGCAGAGAACTTCCAGAAATCCAGGCTGGGTTTAGAAGGGGTCGTGGTACTAGGGATATTGTAGCTAATGTTAGATATATCTTAGCTGAAAGCAGGGAGTACCAGAATAATGTATATCTGTGTCTCATTGATTATGCAAAGGCATTTGACTGTGTGGATCATGACAAACTGTGGCTGACTCTAAAAATGGAAATCCCAGAACACTTGAGCATGCTAATGCGAAACCTATACTTGGACCAAGAGGGAGTCTTTAGATCAGAGCAAGGAAGCGCTGCATGGTTCAAATTTGGGAAGGGCGTACATCAAGGATGCATCCTATCTCCATACCTTTTCAATCTGTATGCAGAACAGATTATCCGGGATGCTGGGTTCTATGAGGAGAAGTGTGGCGTCAAGATTGGTGGAAGATCTATCAACTATCTGCGTTATGCAGATGACACAACCCTGCTTGCTGAAATTGAGGAGGACCTCATGCACTTGCTGCAGTGGATCAAGGACTGTAGCCTCCAATATGAATTGAGGCTCAATGTCAAGAAGACAAAAATTCTCACCACTGGATCAATTGAAAGCATCAGGATGGATGGTGAAGAGATTGAGATTGTACACAGCTTTAGTTTGCTTGGCTCCACAGTCAACACTCTTGGCACCAGTAGCCAGGAAATTAAAGGTGCATTTCCATGGGAAAGTCTGCTGTTAGGGACCTCGCCAAAGTACTGAAGAGTAATGGTGTCTCTTTGGAGACTAAGGTGCATCTGATACAGGCCATGGTCTTTGCAATCACTTGTTATGCATCAGAGAGTTGGACAATGACCAAGGAGGATAAAAGGAGAATTGACGCTTTTCAGCTGTGGTGCTGGAGAAGAGTATTGATGGTACCATGGACTGCCAAGAAAACAAACAGATTCATTCTGGAGAGGGTTAAACCAGGCTGCTCCTATGCATCAGAGTATTGAGAGTACCATGGACTGCTAGGAAAACAGATTCATCCTGGAAAGGGGTAAACCGGGTGGTTCCTTGGAGGCAAGGATTCTGAGGCTCGGTCTAACATACTTTGGACATGTTGTGAGGAGAGATTGGTCTTTGGAGAACGACATCATGCTTGGAAGGGTGGAGGGACAGTGCAGGAGGGGAAGCCCCTCTATGAGATGGATTGATTCAGTAACTGGGATAATCGGGATGGGAGTGTCAGAGACAGTGCAATTGGCACAGGACAGAGCAGAGTTTAGGGCTGTTGTACATAGAGTCGCTATGAGTCGCAAGGGACTTGATGGCACATAGCAGCAACAACAACAAGAAGATGGTGTTTACAACTGTGACCATATGAGGTCACTAAGGGAGTGGTTTAAGTACAAATGAAAGAGAGTCCAGAGTCTAAGCCCTGAGGTGGGGGTCATTCTAATGTTAAAAGGTGGAAGGAAAAGAAGAGAAATGAATACCAAAGATTGAGGGGGTTAGACAGAGAGGTAGTAAGGAAACTTCTAATTGAAACTTCTAATTGACATTCCTCAGAGGGACCTACCTTGAGTAACACTGATGATTCATATTCTCTGACTTTCCATATTTGCCAACATAGAGAGGCACCACGTGGTGATAAGACTGGGTAGGTTTCAGTAGTGCAGATAGGACTAGGGGCCAGTCCAGTTCTATCATGAGTGGATATAGCTTTCCCTAATTTAAATGGTCAGTTTAAACTGTTCTTTTCTTTATTTGAAAGAACACTGCCTTCAAAACTGACTTACACAGTTACATGTTTTAATTGTGTGTGTGTGTGTGTGTGTGTGTGTGTGTGTGTTGATGAATGATACTATTTAAATTGCATTGACATTTTGTTCTCTTTGAAAATTTTACTTTTTGCTAAAAACTATACAAAGCACAATGTTTCCATTACACTGTTATCAAACATAGTGATCACAGGGTCTCTGGAGTCTTAGTAGGTTAAGCCTTGGAGTGCTTGTGGAATATAAGCAGTTTGAATCTCTCTAGTGTGAGAAGGATGAGAGAAGTTGTTTCTTTTATAATTTACAGCCTCAGAAAAGTGATGGAGGGAAAGTAGTAGGTTTGTGGGGTTTTTTTTTTAGAGGTAATGACATTGGTTAAAGTTTTCACGTTATGTCCACTTTCTTCTGTCATTGTTTCACTTCTATTGGCTAAGTCTCCTTGCTCTTCCAACTTCTATAGCAATCCTATGTACAAAAGCCCTAAACCCTGCTCTATCCCTTGCCAATCTTATTGACTCCGACACACCTATCTGCATTACTTCAGTCACTGAATCAATCCATCTCATCAAGGGTCTTCCTCTCTTGCACTGGCCCTCCACCCTCCCAAGCATGATATCCCTTTCCAAGGACTGGTCCCTTCTTACAGCATGTCCAAAGTAGGTCAGACGAAGCTTCAGAATTCTTGTCTCCAAGGTGCAGCCTGGTTTAACTCTCTCCAGAATGAACTTGATCATTTTCTTAGCAGTCCATTGTATATTCAATACTCTTCTCAAGCACCACAGCTCAAAGGCATCAGTTTTCTTTCTATCATCCCTGGTCATTGCCCAGCTCTCTTATGCATAGCAAGTGACTTTAAAGACCATGGCCTGTACCAGGTGCACCATGGTTTTACAGTATTAAATAAGAAAACAAATGACATATACTGGACCTGGAGATCTTTACGTCATAATAACGATTCTAGTAAGTTTATTAATATACTCAGGGTTACATGATTGCATGTTGGCAGAGCTAGGAGGCAGGCCCAACATTTTCTCATTCCATGCCTCATGTTGTTTCAAGCCTACCATGGTGAAAATCAACAAGTATGCCATTCATGCCATGTGTTGACAGTTGCATGTGTATTGTAATTAACAGTTTATATTGTAGTCTAGGTTTCTAACAACTCTCCCTCCTGCCATGCCTCAGCCCTCATTACATAACTGTTACTGTTATGTGCTGTTGAGTCAGAGTCTACTCTTAGCCAACTCTGCAGCATGTTTTCTGAGGCTGTAAGTCACATAGGAGGAAATTGCTCATCTTTCTTCCTATGTGTAACTGGTGGATTCAAATTGCATGCCTTTGGGTTGACAGCACTACTCCTTATGATCAGGCCTGTAGCATTCCCTTCCTCATTCCCTGCTAACCACTATTTTAAAATTATTATTATTATTACAATGTATTTTCTTAATCTAGATAGCTAAGTGGGATCATGCTGTATTAATCCTTTTGTGTCAGATTCCTGTTGCAGCAGGTATCAGAACTTCTCTTTAAGACTGAATACTGTTTTTGTGTGTATGTGTGTGTCTTGTTTACCCATTCATCTGTTGTTGGGCACTTGAGTCCTTCCATCTTTTTGCTGATGTGAATAATGTGACAAGAAGCAAGTGTCTGTTTTAAGTTCCTGCTTTCAATCATATAGCACTCTTGGTACCAGCAGCCAGAAAATGATAAGACGTATTGCAATGGGAGTCTTCTGTTATGGACCTTTCCAGGGTACTGAAGAGCAATGGAGTCACTCTGGAGAACAAGGTGTGCCTCATACAGGCCCTCATCTTTGCAATCGCTTGCTATGTGTCAGAGAGCTGGACAGTGACTAGGGAGGATAGAAGGAGAATTTATGCCTTTGAGCTGTGGTGCTGGAGAACAGTATTGAATGTACCATGGACTGCTAGGAAAACGAACAGGTTTAACCTGGAGAGGGTTAAACCAGGCTGCTCCTTGGAGTCAAGGATTCTGTCTAACATACTTTGTCTGACAAATGCTTTTTGTCTGACATGCTTTGAACGTGTTGCAAAGAGAGACTGGTCCTTGGAGTGGGACTCCATGCTTGGGAGGGTGGAGGGACAGTGCAGGAGAGGAAGACCCTTGATGAGATGTATTGATTCAGTGTTTAGGGAAATGGGGGTGGGTGTGTTGGAGGCTGTGAGATTGGCACAGGACAGAGCAGAGTTTAGGGCTGTTGTATATAGGGTCGCTATGAGTCACAGGCGACTTGACAGCACATAACAACAACATACTTAAATGTGATTTACTTAGATGTTTATCTCACTTTTTAAATATTTTTCATTTTTAAGAGAAAAAGTTTCTTTTTATCTTATATTATTTAAAAAGCTGTTAATTTTTCTCTTGTTTTCTTTCCCAATGACAGAATTTGGTCAGTGAAACTACCCATTTAGTATAAATAAATAGACAAGGCAGACATTTTCATTGTAGACAATGAGAATTTAATTTCATTGGATTTTTAAATTAATTGATAAACCGTAGAAATCAGTTTCATTTTAACACATTAGTATGAAAATGGTTTCATAACTCTTCTCCAAATCTTTCACAGGAAAGCAGCCTCTTTTACGTACAGAAATCTGAGCTTTTTAAAAAGCTTTTTAATTCCCTTTTTTGCTTTAGCTGTTTCATTCTATGTTTGCACATTAGATCAAAGAAATCGGCTGGACAGATGTTGGAGGTTGGACTGGCCAAGGAGGATCAATTCTCGGGACAAAACGGTAATTTTATGACCTCAACTCTGAACTAATCTTCAAGAAGCAGAAACCCTGACAGTGTATATATAAATCTGATTCAGCTGATTTCCTATAAGTAAATTTGAAGTGGCACTAGACCTGCCCACACTCCAGGAATATCAGGTCATGTCTTAAGGTGGTGAGGCTGGCAAGCTCTGGTGGCCTAGTGGCAAGAAGCTGCACTGCAATCTCTGAGGTACACGGTTCAAATCCACCAGATGCTCTGTTGGAGAAGGAGGAACAATCTCCTCCTGTATCAGTCAGATCTGATTTGACGGTACGCACAAAAATAATGAAATAAAATAAAATAAAATAAATTAAAAAAAAAGGTGGTGAGGCTGAGACATATCCCTGGAAGTGACAGTGGATCAATTTGTTACTTAGAAAGAACCCAAGCAGTGCTAAGGGGCTGAGGCTGACCCATGCCCATGAAAAGCATGTTGGTAATGAGTGCAAGGGCTTGCCAAGAAATAAGGCAAGTAATGTGAAGGATTTTCCCCAGTAAATTAATTTCCTCTTCTTTTTGATGAGTAAAGTGGTGAGGAACTTTTAAAAAAAACATAGGTAATGATATCACAGAATTGTAGAAATTGATAATGCATTTATCATGGAACTTAAAAATGTGAAATCCTTATCTATATTTGGTTAATATTAGCAGGAAGAACACAATGAAGTCATATTGTTGCTTATAGCCCAAATGACCAAACAAATTATTTGAGTAATTCTAGCATATAAACCTGTTTTTCTAAATTTTAGTAAGCTTCTGTTTTCCTGCATAACTTGGTATTTTTTAAAAAATTTGAGTTTTTTACAAGATTTTATCATGTCAGGAATAGAGTATTAACCACAATCATTCTCGTGTATCACATTTAATAATAACAGAAAAATATTTTTGCATACATTTAATATTGGAAGCTAGGATTTTGAAGCTCCGTCTCAGATACTTTGGGCATGTGGCCAAGGAGGGACTGATCCTTGGAGAAGGACATCATGCTTGGAAGGGTGGAGGGACAAGAAGAAGACCCCAGAAGAGATGGATTAATATAGTAACTAGGTCAATGGGGGTAGGTGTGTTAGAGTCAGTGAGACTGGCTCAGGACAGGAAAGTCTTTAGAGCTTCTGTACATAAATAAGGTCACTATGAGTCATAGGCAACTCGATGGCACATACAACAACAATAATAGCTTGCCTCAGGAAACCCTATGAACCTGGAGAGAGGATGAGAGACACCCAAGCATTGAAGACTTTCCTTCGTAGGGTCGATATGAGTTGCTCGCAAGTCGACAGCACTTAACAACAACAACAACATAAATGGGTAACTTATGGTATTAAAGCAGCTGTCCCAACTGTTTGTTCTGCTTTAGGCCCAGGGCTCCAGATATTTTGTAGCTGTAGTCCTGAAGAGCTCTGTGGAGCTCATCAAGAGTCCACAGTAGAGGTGTCCTGGATGGCAAATCTGTATTGAGAAGTAAGCCTTTTCAGTGTGTTCCCTGGGCTTCCTCAGGCTGATTGCGATTTCCCAGTAGTCTGCTGGAGAAGCTAAGTAGGGCCTATTTCTCTTGAGTTGGCTACAGTGATTAGGCTCGTGGCTTTGATCACATTCTGAAGTCGCTTAGATGACTGGGAGAGACTCAGTTCTCATATTCACCTGGTTTTGATGATTTTGTATATCTAGATTTTTTTTTTGTCCTGTGACTTCTTATAAAAAAAAGTACACTTTTATTTTCTCCCATAAGCATGAAAGAAGTATTGAAGAGTGGAAGAGTCAGGGAGGAAGGGGGCCAGCAGGGCACAGCCAAATGCCATTTTGTCTGGTAATCTGCTTGTTAACCATATCATATGAAATAGGTGCTAAAGTGGGAGAAGGATAGCAAGGATGAGTGGATATGATTTAAAATAAGACCTGGTTAGATATTGTAGCTGTAAATTATTTGAAAACTGTACATTTCCACTTAGAAATTATTTTTATTAAAAATTACAAGCTATAATGTTTGTTTTCTAATGAGAATCTCTGTAGGTGAAATGTCTCTTGTTTTTATTGTGTGCTGTTGAGTCATTTCGGACTCATAGCCACCCTCAAGGACTGAGTAGAACTGCCCTGAACTGGAGTGGACCAGTTTTTTCCAGTTTTCTTTGTGGTATTTGATTTCTGGCCACAGCTGCCTGGGTAGCCATTTCCGACTTATTGCTGCTCATACTTCTGTCCACCATCCACTGGATGATGATGGCAGATAAAATTCTACTGTGTCTTAATGCAGTTCCTCGTTGGGTCATGGAGTTGGGAGAGGGACATCAAGTTATCTTTCATTAGGCTTGTTATCATGACGTGTATCATCAGAAGTGCAAAGCTTGTCAACATCTGACATCTCCTCTTGATTTAACTCTTTTTTAGTACTTTACCAGGAAAATACTTGGAGAAGATTGCTGACCAGATACGTGCTCATAATATCAACGCTCTGTTGATTATTGGTGGATTTGAGGTACATTATTACTTCTGTTAATCTAGTTAGCTTTGTAGCTAGAAGCCAGAACTCTGCACTGGCTTCAAATTGGCACTGTACTTGTTTGCTATACTTCATGATTTTGAATAATAGATTTCTAGACCCAACTGCCACTGAGTAATTATTAGTGCAGGAGAATTAACAAGTGAGTAATTATTAGTGCAGGAGAATTAACAAGAGTGGCACACTATGACAGAAAATTTATTTCATTCCAATAACACAGTTTAATTTTATTCTTTAACTTTGCTTTGTCTGTTTAGTGAGCTGAGTTCTGTTTCCAGTCTACAGAAATAATTTTATCTCTTAGATTTGAAGTTCTTTGGCTCTTTAAAGAAAAAGAGATATATATCTATTTAGCAAGATTTTATAAATCATGGACTGAACTATAGTCCTTGATTTTCTTTTTTTCCCTATGCAGTGATGATAGGTCACATTATAAACTTCACATTAACTTTAAAGACAATCTGAAATAATCAGATTCTTACTGATAAATGGTTTAGTAGTACTTAGAATGTCTTAATGTTATTCTTGATGCTTGTCTTTGCCTCTGGTCTTAATGCCTTTCTGTGTTGGTTTTTTTAGCGGTTCCATGGTACTCCCCTCTGTGCCTTGTGTGCTGTGCTAGAAGTGGCTCTCCTTGTGGCTCTCCTGTGCCATTTTCATTCCAATGATGTCCCTTTGTTCCCCTCTCCTCTCCTTCCCCACCCGCCCCCATGATTACACACACTTATCTGACAGGCCTACCTGGGACTGCTGGAACTGTCAGCTGCCCGGGAGAAACACGAGGAATTCTGTGTCCCCCTGCTCATGGTTCCTGCCACTGTCTCCAACAATGTACCCGGTTCCGATTTCAGCATTGGTGCAGACACTGCTCTGAACACTATCACTGACGTAAGTCTTTGTGTATCCAGCAAAGCAGACACTGCAGCGCTAGCAGGAAAGATGGCTGTGCCCCTCTTTTTTATTTACCAGTGTACTAGAAACATGCTTGGAGGGCTAGGGCACAAGTATCATGAAGGTGGGATTTTGGGGATTTTTTTTTTCTTCTCTTTTGCAGGAAAATTACAAAATGTTCTTGAGGAAGAACAAAAAAAATATTTCTTCTAGATTCCTAAATTTTTATCACTTCTTTTCCTATGCCGTGAAGATGACAATCACGGTCTTGAAGTGATGTGAGCATGTGGAGCTCAACAAATCATAGGTTGATACTTTTTTGGTGATTTTGGCAGTCAAAAATGTCTTTGTTTTGTTGAGCAGAAATGACTTCAAGCCTTTAACATCTTGCAAATCCTGGTCCAGTGGGCTGCCTGACCCCTGGCTGAGAAGGACATTTTGCCATTTTCTTCATTGGCCTGCATCTTTATACTTTTGGTTATAGCCACGCTAGCATAATTTTTCTCTTTACAACTTGAGGCTGTTAACATCTAAAACAATGCTGATGCTGTTGTATTTTTATTTATTTATGTATTTATTTATTTTTTGCTGAAAGGCAATACTAAACAAGAAATTTATTCTTCATATCCTGTGTGCAAGTTGTAGTTTATAATTTACATGGGAATTTGAAGATCAAAATCTAATCCTCAATTTCATATTTTGGTTTTTTAGTTAAGATCTGACATTTTTCTTGAATTCTCAAATTTTTATTTTCCTCATCAGACCTAATCCTTAAGAGTTTTTTAAAACACTTCACCTCAAACTTATTTCTAGTACTGGTAAATAAAAGGTTAGAAAGCTTTCAAAAGGAATTCCAGATGGTAAGTAACGCTTAAGGCTTTGTCCTGCTTTTCTGAGCTTCCTAAACTTTGAGCAATTTCTTTACTAACTAAGCCCTCCCAATGCTTCACACGCTCCTGCTGGGAACTGGGAACTGGGTACTGGGTTTGTTTTCAGTAACATCTCACTAAATAGTTGCTTGTGCTCTCCTGTGACTTATGGCTGCCTCTGCCTAATTCAGACTTTTATCTATTTTAAAGATCAAATGAACTTAATTTGATCAACTTTAGCTGTACCCTGAATCTGCTTACACTAAGCTTGTGGCCAAGCAAGTAGAATATTCGTTTTGTTTTCTTCATAATTGTTTATCCTGTTGTCCACTCATTGCCAAGGGGAGAGGGGTGGTGAATGTGAAAATTGTTCCTTTTCTGTTACTAGAAGCTTTCACAGATACTGGCAAAGGTTGGTGTTTTAACTCCTTGTCATAGTTTGATGTTCACATTCATCCATGAAGAGAGGGTTTTCCCAGGCTTTTATAAAAGATTTTATTCTTTCTCAGATTATAAACATGTAATACATGCGGGTTATAGAAAATTTCAAAACCAAATTATGTAGAAAAAACCAAGGTACTTTGTTAAAGTTGAACATATGAGACAGAGCGGATTCCTTGTAATTGAGTTGACTCCAACTCAGAGCAATCCTGTAGAACAGGGCAGAATTTCCTGTAGGGTTTCCAAGAAGGGAACCTTTGGCAAAGCAGACTGTCACTACTTTTGTCTGCAGAGTGACTGGTGAGTTTGAATTGTCGGTTTTCCTCATTAACTTTTTCCTTATGAGATATTTGAGCTTATGTAATTTTTTTTTAAAAAGTTCTAGATTTTTAAAATACTTTAAAAACTCCTCAAAGTTAAATTAGCCCATTAGCGTTCATTTAATTAGGGTTTTTGAAGAAAAAAATAAAAAGTAGATGTCTTATCATTGCTTTAGGTGTTCATTGTACATGCTAAGTAAATAAGTATTTGTGTTCATAATGACCTTTTTTCTTGAGGATCTAAGGAATTTGATTGCCTTGATGATAGCATACATCTATCTAATCTTGACACTGAAAGGCCATGTTGGTGATGATAATTTAGTAACTATTGTGATGGTTCAAGTTAGGTTCTCAGTAACCAGCTGAGGAAGAAGAAAACAGATAAGAGAGTTCTTTTGTGTATTTTAAAGGAGTCAAAATATGGACATGGTGTTGAAATTGTTGTGATTTTCTTGTTGTACTCATTAAAGCCAGAATGTAATTGAGCCCTCTTTGGTACATTGAGATTTGGTTCTGAAGTTGGCTAGGCTGTCATGGTGATGGGGAGCTACAAAGAGAGGCTGAGGAATGTCAAAGTGGTACTTGGCCCTACCAGTACCCCTTTGACTTCTTGGCATCTTGGAACAGACTTGTTCATGACCTCTTTCTGATATTGTTGTTGTTGTTATGTGCCGTCGAGTCGCTTGCGACTCATAGCGACCCTATGTACAACAGCCCTAAACCCTGCTCTATCCTGTGCCACTCTCATTGCCTCTGACACATCCATCCCGATTACCCCAGTCACTGAATCAATCCACCTCATAGAAGGTCTTCCCCTCCTGCCCTGTCCCTCCACTCTGCCCAGCATGATGTCCCTCTCCAAAGACCCGTCTCTCCTTACAGCATGTCCAAAGTATGTCAGGCGAAGCCCCAGAATCCTTGCCTCCAAGGAGCAGCCTGGTTTAACCCTCTCTAGGATGAATCTGTTTGTTTTCTTGGTACATTCAGTACTCTTCTCCAGCACCACAGCTCAAAGGCGTCAATTCTCCTTCTATCCTCCCTAGTCATTGTCCAACTCTCTGATGCATAACAAGTGATTGCAAAAACCATGGCCTGTATCAGGCGCACCTTAGTCTCCAGAGAGACACCGTTGCTCTTGAGTACTTTAGAAAGGTCCCTAACCGCAGACTTTCCCATCATAATATGTTTTTTTTTAATTTCCTGGCTACTGGTGCCAAGAGTGTTGACCGTGGAGCCAAGCAAACTGAAGCTGTGAACTATCTCAAAAGCCTCTTTGGGAATTGCAGACAAGCAGCGATATTAACATCAGATCTTCTTCCTCAATCAGGAGCATAAGTCAGGTGTTCCGGTCTTTACAGTATTCTTACCTGCTTAGTCCCTGAATCACTTAGGTTTATTATCATTGCCCATTTCCCTCTTTGTTTTCTAGTACTCATTGCTTTCTTTTGCTCAAATAGTCACTGGTTCTTAAGGAGAGATGCTTTGCCCCGAGGGGATAGTCATGAATTTCTGGAGACCTCTGTAACCAATTGGAGGAGGTGGTGCTTTGAGTATCTAGTGAGGAGACACTCAGCACATTCTACAGGAACCCTTCACAGTATCAGAACCCACTATTTACCTGTTGCTGAGATGATCCCAATTCATAATGACCCCACAGGACAGAATAGAACAGCCAGATAAGAGTCTCCATAATGAAATCTTTACAGAATCAGACTGCCACACATGCTTCCTTTGGAGCAGCTAGTGGACTCAAATGGCTGACCTTTCAATTAACAGTGGAGTGAGTGCTTTAACCGCCAAAGCACCAGAGTTCCTTAATGAACAGGACAGCCTCCCCTAACAAATAATGATCTGACTCAAAACATCAGCAGTGCTGAGTTTAAGGAACCGTGGGCTAGTCTTACATTATTAAATGATCAAGGAGTTTTGGGTAGCTTTCTTTATCATTATGGACATTGACTTATTCCATCTTTGCTAGTGTTTATAACTTAGCTCATAAATGCCTATCACTCAGATACCTTTCAGGAACAATGCCTTTCTCATTCTCTCACAGTGTTCTGTTCTGGTTTTAAAAATAAGCCGCTAAACTGCTGAATTGGAGGCTACAGTTGAATGCTGGTAAGGTTTCAAGAATTACAAGCCCTCTAATGACCATCAGTGATAATACATTGAAGACCATCATCATTTTCTTAAAACTCCATGCATTTTCTTTTTCTCAGTGCAAATATACCCACACATTTCCAGAGCAGCTTAATGAGGTTTTTAAAACTATCTATGGTTTGGAGCCCAAAGCAGGAAAGTTAAGTGATATTTTCTCTGTATCACCAACACATATGACTTGTCTTTGTTCTTAGAGTTTTATACTTATTGTGGATGGTTAGAAAGAGCTGCAGTGGAGGAGAGGAGATAGAACCTGCTTGGAGCTGCTCAGGCAGCTTTGCCCCACCATCGTTGAGTTGTGTCTGACTCATGATAACCCCGTGTGTGACTGTAGAACTGCTCCATAGGTTTTTCTTGGCTGATATCTTTATGGAACCAGATAGGCCTTTCATCTGTGGTGCTGCGGTGTGGGTTCAAACTATCAACCTTTAGGTTAGAAGTAGAGTGCAGTTTGTGTCACCTACAGACCTTAGAAATATCATTAGAGATTTTGAAATGGAATTGGAGGCACTTAAACCACTCCTGCACCTCAGCTCTTCTTACACGTCCCTCAGGTTCACGTTCAGTCTATTTTGAACACCCTGGCCTCAGAAAGTGCTTGATGGCCCCATTGCCTTTCAGGGAGAACTTAGTAAAAAAAAAAAAAAAATAACGAAACTGCCTTGTTTCTACACAGCCTGCTCTGGATGTGTTTCTAACTAGCCTTATCCACAATAAAGGCAGTGAATAGCATTTTTAAAAAAATTTTTTTTTTAAGGCAATGAGGACTCCATCAAATAGAAATAGAAATGGTTGGGACCCCCAAGAGTCAGTGTGCATCTCCAAATATTCTGTGGAATAAATTGAGGTAGCTCAGAAAGTCCCCCGATAACCTGTCATACCCACAGTCCAAACAGCACAGCATCTGTAAAGCGACTTGAGAGGGAGTAAGCTGAATGTGCCCCTTGGCTGGTGGCTTGGCGTCATTGTGAGGAGTGGTGGTGTTGATCGTGTTGGAGGTGGCGAAGGAAACCCTGCTTACACTTATGCCCTTGGACAGAGTAACTAATCTGTTTTGTTACTGACCTACATCCAAATGTTTATACTCTTGCAGATCCACAATCCCTTGTCCAAATCCTTGGGCTCTGTGTGTTCTAGAGCTCAAAATGTTTTGGATTGAAGAAAGATAATGCCAAGCATTTGCCACATATTATATATGCACTCTGTG